GGTTTAGGGTTTCGAGTTTTGGTTAGGAACCCTTGTCATTTTGGAACCCTTGTAAAAAGCCCCTTCTGTAACCCTTCTAGATTCTAGTTTACAGAATAAGAATATCCCTAAATTCGGGCACTGGAGTCTGTGAGAATCAAGATCGAGAGGGCGGCAAGGGCGCACGGCCCTCGATTTGCCCTCATGTCCTCTCCCGTCCAAGACTTCAACGTCTCTCGTGAGCCAGGAGTCGAAATGCCCATGGCGATTCAGGGCTGAAGGCTTCAGAACTACTGTAGGGGCCTTCATAATTAGAATAGGGTTTTGGGCTCCTTAATGCTATAATTCTAATAAGGAACCCGAAGGAATATAATTGGTAATTATTTAGGCTTCTACGTTAGACCAATCAGATTTTGGTAAACCCCCTCAGATGCTATGAGGTGTTGCAAGATCTGGGGTGCGGTGACTTTTAAGGATATGTCCTACGGTTGGCAGCGCCAGTCTGGGCGACAAATCTCACGCAAGGGATCAAGGGAACTAGTAAGCTATATTTGGTGTAGAAGTAATCTGAGCGGGATATAATAAAACAGCCTCCTTGCAGAAATCTAGACTACGTGCTAAGCCCCCTGCCTTTTAGCATATACAGTATGACCTAGCCTTCGCTTTCTCCGGCCACTTCCTATGGGAGCAGCAAGAAGCCACTCAATTTCCATCGGGCTCGAAGAAGAACCGGCCGCTGTCGTGGCACCACCAGTGACACCCGTCGTGGTCATACCTAGCTTGGCGTTTTGAGTTCAGGGTCCGGGAGCTGAGCCCAAAGGTCTAAACCAAGAACAGCGGTCTGTGGGCTGTTTAGGGTTTAGAGTTTAGAGCATCGAGGGTCAAACGTTCAGGGTAGCTAGGGTTTAGGGTATTTAGGGTTTAAGGCTTCGGTTTGTTGAGCGTGAATCCAAAGGTGCCGGGCCTTTGGGGTTTTTGGGTATTACAGCCTCGGGGTTTAAGGGGTGCAAGAATGTGAAGCATGAGGTGCTGTCGATAATGATCCAAGAGGCTGCGTCCACCCGAACTGCTTCGCATCTTCCTTGTAGAAATACTCTTGAGTCGGAAGATAGTAGTAGTACGGCCTCAGGCAGCTTGGGGATTGGGTTTCAGCCATTTCAGCATCCCGGAGCGAGAGACGTCGGGGAATTTGGGAACATCCCAAACAATCCTAAACACCAAACACTAAAGCCGTAAATCCCTATAAACTCCAAACCCTAAAGCCCTAAACACTGAACCTCTAATGAAGGATGCCGGGACTTGCTACGTTAGGTTGTAAGTACCCTAATGAGAGTTGCAAATATAGTCTAGGGTTTAGGGTTTAGGGGTTTAGGAGCCTTATTCATAACCCTAGCTCATAAGTCGTGTGATCCTTTAAGTAGAGTTAGTACACCAAGCGCCTGTTGTCGTCATCAAGGAGTTTGTGCCACTCTTCCCTCTCGGCGACGTCTTCTTGAGCCTCTCCGGCGTCCTGCGGCAAGACCGCAGTCTTCAAGTGCTGCTTTTAACGGAAGAGGGCCGACTCCGAAGCCTTGGGGTGTAGAATAATTATCGGTTCGGGTTTAGGGTTTAGGGTTTAGGGTTTAGGGTTTAGGGTTTAGGGTTTAGGGTTTAGGGTTTAGGGTTTAGGGTTTAGGGTTTAGGGTTTAGGGTCGAGGAGCAACTGTAGACCCAGAAACCTTGATTTTTTTCGATTGGGCAAAGGCGGGGGGCCATGATAATGATGTCCCTCAACTTCAACATGGGTAGGTTTTTTGGGATACACGGAATGCAGGGTAAGAGTACTCGCCAGCAGTAGCCCCTCATAAGGTATCATAGACCCTAAATTTTAGGGTATGGTACAGAATCCAATTCTAGATCCCGCATAGAACCCTTGCAGTAACCCCTCACAGGAACCCTTGACACCAAAACCCCTCAACAGCACAATCCCAGATGCTAAGCCCTAAACCCCCCTAAACCTCTGACTGCTGGTGTGTGAGATTGGGAGCTAGGATTAGGGGGACCCTTGGGGATATAGACCCTCTCAATAAGGTCCCTTTTAAGAGAGCCAAAAGTAAGGCTCAGAAGGATCCTCTTTAAGGGGTCTCCCTAACCCTAAACCCTAAACCCTAAACCCTAAACCCTTCAAGGGGTACCCCTAATTATACTGCCTAGAGAGATGTAGGGTTTGAAGCTCCAAGGTCTGGGGCTTTAGGGTTTAGGGGTTTAGGGGTTTAGGGTTTAGGGCTTAGGGTTTAGTCAGGAAAGTAATATCAGTCTTCAAGTAGCTATAGTGTCATGAGGACGATATGGCGTAGAACTACTCATGATTCCGGAAACCCGACTAAAACCCAATAAAAACCCAACAGCAGGGTGGTTCTCTAAAATCGGGTCCCTTTTTAGGTCCCCAATATAGTACGGAACCCTAAACAACAGGACCCTAAAAGGGACGCTAATTTAGAGAACTACCCATATTGCAACGCTAAACCCCAAACCCTAAACCCTAATCCCTAAACCCTAAAACCCAAAGCCTAAACCCTAAACCCCAAACCCTTAAGGGTCACTTGGTCCTTCAGGAAACCCAACAAATACTCCTTAACCCTAAACCCCCAAACCCAATAACAACCCAACAGTAGTATCAGCCCTAAACCCTAAACCCTAAACCCCAAACCCTAAACTCTAAACCCGCCTTTTCGGACCCGAATATTGGTATCAGGGTCCTCCGCAGCTTTCGGTTGGGAGCTCCCACTGTCGGGCCAAGCTGGTGCCGGTGCCGCGGCGGACGGCTGAGCCGCTGACGAGCCACTCCAGCAGTGTTTGCCTCAGCCACGTAGTGGTTAGGGTTTCGGGTTAGCCCTAAACCCTAAAGGGTTCGCCCTAAACCCCAAACCCTAAGCCCTAAGCCCTCAACCCTAAACCCTAGGGTTTAGCGCATTAGCGCAGGAGGGTTTCGGATTTGTAGCTTTAGGGTTCTGGGCGTTGGCTTCCCGCAAGCTAAGGCTGCTAGGGAAATGGTCCTCACCCATATAGGCCCCATAGTAGTTCCTTTTTGGGGTTACCTGCTAGGATTCTATGTATGAGCCCCGAAAAGGAACTACGTTAGGGCCTATGCGCAGTTACTTGAGACTGGATCCCCCGCCAACCCAAACTAAACCTATGCAAGATTCCCTTCGCATATTCCCTGAACGCCAAACTTCAAGCCCTTAACCATAGTACTGGCTTAAGACTTCCATTCTCCGATGAACAGCTGCAAGCTCAGCCGCTATGAAGCTGCAAGCTGGAGTCAACTGATTGAATGTTGATAGTGCAGGATTTAGGGTTAGGGTAGGTTTGAGCGGCCGTAGTGATGAGAATAGAGCTTTGGGGTCTATTGCACTTTCTAACTATAGAGGGGCTACACGAAACTAAGACTACCAGCACTAGAGCCGAAACCCTAAACCCTAAACCGGAGCCGAAACCCGAAACAAGCTTAGTGTGCAAACTTCCCCGATCTGCCAATATCCCTTAACTAGGGAATATACCTTAGAAGGGTTTAGGGTTTAGGGTTTAGACCATAGTAGGGTAGTATGCAAACTTCCCAGATCTTGCTGTATCGCTTAACTAGGGAATATACCTTAGACAAAAATAGGATCCCGAATAATATGGTTTCTGGTATATACACTAACCATGGGACTTTGCAAGATTTGGGTTTTTTAACCTCGAACCCGCAACTGTCCTTGGCGCTCCTTCAAGGATACTGTAGTGGCCTAAAGAATTACCAATACTATTGTGTGGGTTCCTTGTTAGAACTATAGCAAAATGGACCCCCGAACCCTATCTTAGTTGATAAGGGCCCTATATTACATGAAAGGACTCTTTCACATAAGTTCGAGTCCCTAAGCCCTCAACCCTAAACTCTAAGCCTAAACCCTAAATCCGAAACCCTGTACCCTAAACCCTAAATCCTAGACCCTAAACCCTAAACCCTAAGCCCTAAGCCCTAAACCCTAAACCCTAAACCCTAAGCCCTAAGCCCTAAACCTCCAACCCCCGACCTTCGACTTCCCCTGCTATCTTCCCCTAAGGACCTACAGCAAAGCGCACCCTGAAATCCCAACATGGGGGCCTTCAGGTTTAGGGTTTAGGGAGCTTCATAATTGGAATGGTGTTTTGAGTTCTACCATAGTAGGCTTGCTATATGAAGTACTTGTAAAATCCCTTCATAATTAGAATCGTGTTTGGGGTTCTACCCTAGTAGGCTTGCTATATTAAGAAATCTCAAGGACCAATCTGAGCCATTACTAAGCCCCCCAGAAGTGCACCATCGTTGTGCTTACCCTAAACCCTAAACCCTAAACCGTCGAGTCACGGCCGTGGTCCCATGGAAAGGAAAACATTTTGGGCTCTGTTGCTCCAGTTCCTGCAGCTTCACAGGGTTCCTCGGTGAGCAATCTTAGGGTTTAGGGTTTAGGGTTTAGTGTTTAGGGTTGAGGGTGTAGGGTTTAGGGCTTAGTGTTTAGGGTTGAGGGTTTAGGGTTTAGGGGGTTCTCGAACTGAGGGTCCCCCTTTGGGGTCCTTTGTATAAGGGTGCCGTACTATTTTGGGGAGCCTAAAAAGGGACTCTAACAAGGAGAACTACCTATGGGGGTTATTGGTTGCATTCCCTCCTAGGGGTTAAACGCCATAGTGCGCTCTGCTTCTATGCCTGGACTATGTCTACCTCTATCACAAGCTGCACCTGCAACAGCAGCAGCTCCTGCTGCTGTGACAAAAACGACCAGCACTTACTGCTATCCTAATCTTACTACAAGCACCACTACTAGAGAGCATTGGCAACAGAGAACTCATTCACAATTCACTCGGAGCTGCCCTTTCCGTCTAATCAAACAAGATGGTATATGCTAAAAATCGAAAACAATGCTTAACAACGAAATTGCGATCTTCACAACCTAAACCCTCAACCCTCAACCTAAAGCTTGCACCTTGAACCCTAAACCCTAACCAAGCAACTCGCGGGGCGTTGTAGTAGGACTGCTTGCCTTTGCCGGCTACCGTCGTCTCCTCCTCCTTCGAAGGCTGCGAGCTGTAGGACTTCTCGCGGCCGGTCCTGGGACAAGAACATAGGGCCCCCAAAAAGCACATAAGCAAAACTCAGGATAGGGGGTTTCCCGTATAAATCCCTTATAGTGAAGCCCAGTAAGGTAGGGATATCCCTATAAGATGCTTATGCTTATGTCCTTTTGGGGGTTCCTAA